CATTCCTGCGCGCACACGGACTCTCTGTATGTTTACAGGAAATGGCACTGTGTAGTGAAGTTAAACCTCTTCAGATTGTTCCAGTTCATTTGGTTCAACCATTAAAACCAAACTCCCCAACACATCTGGCAATGAGTCAAGTGGAATTAGTGGAAAGCCTCTTGAAAGAGATGGGAACCGAAAACTCTGGGTTTACCATCGGCAACATCATGAAGGTAGGAGTCTGAGTTCACAGCACCTGAAGCTTTGTCTGTTGTTGTTTTATTAGGGCTTGTCTGTCTGTTTTGGAGTGCTTGAGCCTCTTGGAGGTGACAGCACACCTTGTGAGGGAGCAAGATGCCAATAGGGGGGAAAAAGAATCACTAGGTCAAAAAGTGTTTGCAAAAACCTGTCTGCGTGAAGATTTCTCCCACTGCGGTGAAAGGATTGTGTTAGACTAATGAACAAGTCTTTAAAACCCACGTGGGAAAAGAGGCATAGGGTTTTTTATTATTATTATTTCCAGTTTGCAGTGGGCGCTTTGGAACACAGAGTTTGTGAAGTTCGTGATGTAGCACTGCGGATTATCTTCAATATGTACAGGAAGCACAAGGCTGCTATACTGGAATATCTTCCTCCAGATGATGCAAGCATTCGCAAGACTGTTCTCTATAAAACACTCTTTGATGGATTTACTAAAATAGATGGTAAACTTTCTGAAGCTGAAATTAGGGTATGTAATAAGATTGTAGAACATACTTTAAACATTGCATTCAACCGAGCAATGTCCTGATTTCATACCTAGATTAGACGCTGAATGACACACGTAGCACAGCATCTTAAGGTGTGATGTTAACACGAGGTGTAAAAAGCTGATGTTCAGTTTATTACATAGACTCACAAATACTGCCTACAATGAATACAGAGATATTCCACAATTCTGAAATAATACGCAATCCTTTTGGAAAAGACACATGTACTATTTCATGCTGCCTGGCCTTGGAAACAGTGTGCACAGAGGAAATGCTCTGTGTGTCTCCCAGGTTCGTACAGAGGAATCTGTACGCATCAGCTGATGTGTTTTGTAGTCTCTTCTATATGACAGATGGTTCAAAAACTTTTATGATTGAAAGAGTCTTTCTTGACAGGCACAGAGAAAGGCAGCAACAGAAGAAGCAGAGAAACAGAAGAAGGAGGAAATAAAAGTTCTGCAAGGTCAGCTGGCAGCTCTAAAGGAGATGCAAGCAGAAGTTCAAGCAGGAAAGGTTAGGGTGGTTTGGGTTTGAGGGTTTTTTTTTTTTAAATACTTTTTTCCTCAGGTATTGCAGGCCTAGATAATGAACATTGCTGTTGTCTTGTTATAAACTAAAAAAAAAAAAAAAAGAGAGAGAGAGACTCCATGACATATACTACCTAACTTTCACTCTCAGCAGTCCAGCTGAAAATTTGGAGGTTTATTTTTCCTAACATAATATAAAATTTGGATTCTTTTCTATAGCAGCTTTGTCTGTCATGTGGTAATTTTGAGTGTTTCCACAGTCTAAGTGTTTCTGTACCGGCTAGTGTATGGGAACTGCACTGAGTGCGTCAGGGCCCTCTGGAAGCATGCTGTGCTGCGCTCCCAGTCAGTCTTAGATGCAAAAGGTAGTCAGCTACCCCAAAGCCAGGGAGTTCTCCATCCAGGCTGTTCTCCATCTGCAGAAGGCTGCTGCCTCAAGGCCTGAGAGATTGCTGTAGGACCAGAGGCAGGAATGTTGTACTGCATCAGCTCTGCTTCTAAGCTTTTAATTCCAGAGACAAATCAGGATATAATCTGCTCGCTTTCTCCCTGGCAAGCATCACAGTCCTTAAGGACATTTCTGACTTCAATTTCTTTATTCAATAGGAGAAAGAATCTGGTTTTCAGAAGCCAAAGAATCAAGGTAGGTAGTTTCAAATAGTATTAAGAAGTGTAGAGGTATTTCAGGATGTCTTTGAAACACTGTAGATGCTTAACAGATTATTGAATTATCTCAGTGAAAAACATGCCAGAGCGCTTCAGATTGGCTGCGTCTCAGCCTGCCGTAAGTTCATGAAAGGGATCATCAGCTAACTGGTTAATTTCTCACAAGAGATTAGTATGCCTTGGCTTGGAACTGCTTTAGATTTCTCCCCAGCCTGAGGCAGATCCTCTACTACATGTAAAAATAATCACTAAAATATGTTGGTTGTGGATCACTAAAGCACTAGTTTCCTAACTGCCTTTGGGTCTGTTGTCTTTCAGTCCTTGGTTACCGATATGGCAGCGGTGTTCTCCTGTTAGGTTCTTTGCCGTTAAGGTCCGGAGAAGCGGTATTTCTAGACCTGCACAAAAACTAATTAAAATGTGATCTTGGGTTTAATTGTTCTCTTTTTCCAGGTTACCAGATAAAAGAAAGCCTCCAGCCTGCAGCAGCAGGGATTCCAGATGACCCTTCTTCTGTTCCAGATTACTTGGATAAGTAAGTAAGATGAGCAGCTTGATATAACCTGCAGGCTGATAACGATAATAATATTTCTCCAGTGGATCACGGCTAATACCTTCAGCATTTAAACAATGAGAAAGAAAATCTAACAGATTTGGAATTCTCAGCAGGCAATCCTAGATGTTGAAGTTTTAAGTTCTCAACGTGACCTTGAACTTGTTGTCTGAGTAGTTGCTCGTGGGATATGAAATTGCCACAGTTTCATGTTCAACTGCCAGTATAAAATAAGGTGAAGATATACTGTATCTTTCATGTGTACTGCAGGATAAGAGCATAGAGAAAAGCATTTGAAAATTCTGGGGCTGTGAAAGCCGTTTTCAGTGAGCTATTCTCAGAGCTTTGTGGAATTATCTCATTCTAGGTGAACAAGTGCTTTCTAGGTGCATTTACCATGAATTACATCATAGTGTCTGTTTGTGCCCTACCCTAAGGTCAGTGCTATATAGGGAAAATCAGCTGCGCCAAAATGTTAGCTATTTTTCAGAACAGTTTCTAACAGGAGACATGAGGATCATCCATTTCATTCTGCGCTGTTGCTGACGCTTGTATTTTTTTCCCTAGCTTATGTATTTTTTGTGGTGAACGGGACAAATCCTTCACAGAGGAAGGATTGGATCTCCATTACTGGAAACACTGTCCTATGTTAACCAGATGTCAGCACTGCAAACAGGTGAGACGTAAACTTTCTAGAGCTACTACAAGACATTAACTGCTGTTACTCTGGTTTTAGGGCGCTATAAGATATTTAGCGCGAAGGTAGATGAATTCTGAACACAACCGTGTGATCTCGGGTAGTGCCTCTTGAAAAGAGCAGCATTATATTATAGCAGCAGTATTAATAACTGGACTAGAATTTCATTTGCCTTTTGTCACTTTGGAAAGTGAGATTTCACTTCCAAAACCCACAGAAGCGTTTTTTTCAGTACTGTCCTTACTCAGTTACAGTGCAGATCTTCAGGGCTGCCTCTTGCTGTGTTGCAGGTGGTGGAAATAGCGAGCCTGACAGAGCACTTGTTGACTGACTGTGATAAGAAGGACAGCTTTGGGAAATGTCAACGATGCAGCGAGGCCATTCCAAAAGAAGACTTGCCCAAACATATTAAGAGCAAGACTTGCAATCGTGAGTAGTTTTGAACAGGAAGGTTGAACTTCAAAAGTCAAGTCAGTCAGACTTGCAAATCCTCTGTCTTTTGGGCAAGTCAGACCACTGCTGTTTAGGTACTGCGCTGTGGAGTAAGTAAATCCTCAGGAAGGAACACTTCTGGAATAAGTGCCTGAGTGTCCCAGTGCTTGAAGTGCTTCGCTTCTATGAATGCCTGCAGGGAGGACAAGTGAGGAGAACAGACAGGCTCTACCGCATCCTTGTGGACTAAACCGTGTCGTTCCTTTTGATCCTGTCTCGATGTAGATGATTAAACACGGGACTTCTTTGAGAGCAGTTAGCGATAATAAGGTGGGAGCTGGTTTGGCCACAGGGTCGTTGTGCAAGTTCTCCTCTTGGATTTGAACTCAGCCTTTCTTTGCCATTCTTACATTCTTTTTCTAATCGTTTCAGCTGCCAAACCAGAAAACGTGGCAAACCATTGTCCACTGTGCCATGACAACTTTTCCCCAGGAGAGGAGGTAAGACTGCCTGCTAGGCTGGTCTGATTTTGTTATGTCACTGGACCGAATTTGTGTCCTCTTCCAATGCTGGCTTACACCCAGTGACTTAAGAAATTACCTGGATTCTTGCCAGGGTCTGTAACGGCTGTCCCACACTCCAGGGACCATGCTGAAACCTGGGTCATTTATCCTCAAAGGTGTATACGGGAACCACGGGGCTGCAGGCTATTGGGTGTCAGTCTTTCTCCTCCTGCGTATTGTAACTGAGTCTGAAACACTTGCTGAGAAATGTATGTGGTGTTTGGATTTGGGGATTTTTAGGTTTTTTTCTTGCTTCTGCCCAGATGATTCTTACGAGTAAGAGACTTCACATAGCATCTAGTTTGAAGAGGCTCTCATGTTTTCTTGTAATGGCAGCTCCTGCTCCTTCAGGTTGCTCAGCACTTTTACTATTATCATAGCCTTGTAGTGATGACCATGCTTTTTCAGTTTAAAATACATATAGATAAAAGGATTTTTCCATGTTATTTCTATATTGTTTTTTCCTGATTTGAACTCAGTTGTTAATGAAGAAAGTTTAAAAAACAAATGGAACGTCACTCATTTTTAATTTCTAGCATCTGACTGGGATTCTTTTTCTTGCGATCTACTTTGTAAGTTACATTTAAGAAATGGATATATTAATTTCTGTTCCACTTACTAAGTCATAAGGTGTTTGTGCTTTTACAAGTAAGCAGATTAAAATGCTATGCCATGAAGTGTATACAGCTCTCATTTTCCCCATCTTTTAAAAAGTGTGTGTGCATACTTAGTGACGAGATAAAAAATGGGCTAATTTTGCCACTTTTGTAATATCGCTTCTTTTTAATTGACTGTAGGCCTGGAAGTCTCACCTAATAGGCAACGATGGCTGCAAAATGAACCAACGGAGGTTATCCACCATAAATAAAACTCTTCTGGTGCAGCCTGGTAAGATGCTATTTTACAATAATGATGATTATGGTTTTTACTCTGTTGCCTTTACTTAAGAAAAGTATTTCATCCTGGAGAGCAAGCTGGCTCTTCCTTATGTGTTCACCAGGTCTTTTGCATTTGTGTAACCACAGTGATATTTCTGGTGCTGCTGTAGACTGCAGTCTAGTATACTGAGGGAGCAAATTCTCAACCCTGTTCAGTAACAGCAATTTGGAAATGAGGGCATTAGCGCGGTTCATCAGGGAAACTGCCATCTTTGATTGGTTCAGAGGTTTTGCTGCGTTATGGTATGACCGTGACTGGCACAGTCAGTGCTGATACTAAACAGTTAACTTTCTGGAAAGGTCCTGAATGCTGATGCAGAGAACCGAGAGCCTGATTTAGCTTTTGATGTCCAATCAGAGGATGCTAATCTAATCCTAATTAGAAGATGAATTGAATAGTTAGTGCTGCATAGTGCTTTTCCTTTTCAATTCCGACCCAGGAGCTAGGCAGAATTTATGATTCTGCAGCTTCTTTACCAGCAAAGAGAAATCGATGCTGACGTCAGGTGGTTTTTTAACAGTTGTCTTTATTTATGAAGCACGTGCAAAATCCTTCTGTTTCCTGAACACAGAAGTTAAACAAACAAGCTCTTTTCACCACCTGCAGCACCAGAACTCTTTTGGCCGGTAACATCCAAAACCTTTCCTCCTTCAGACTGTTTTCAGAGTTCTTTAGTCTGTGGCACGTTCAGGTCGCTGCCAGAGTTGACCTCCTCTGCCTGATACTTGCTTTGCTCATATCTGCATTTCAGAGCTACTCCTGGAAAGTTCTGTTCAGTTGTTTCTTTCAGCTGCCGTAAGGGAAGGCCGTTACACTCCACACTTGCCAGTCTTGAACTGGACCTACAATCACATCTGTCTGTGTGTCTGTCTTCAGCTTTGCTGTTTCTGCTTGCTAAGGAGAATGCTAGTTAGTTTGCTGCCACTTAGACTTTGGAAACATAGAAGGAACTTAAATCCTGCCTGGATACAGCTAAAGCTCCAGAGCAATTTCCTAGGGATGGGGAAGGAACCCTGACCATGTAGTCCTACCACTCCTGGTGAGAGACGCACCTCAGACTGGTGCCTGCCAACCTTGAGTTGCTCCTATCAGTCATTCAGACTTAATATATCTTGAGAATCAAAATGGGAGAAAAAATACAAGAGCGGGACTAGAGGTGCTTGCAATAATGATCTGTATTTTCTCTTCACAGGCAAAATAGGTGGCCAGCATTTAAGGAAGCCAGCTCCTTCAGAAGCAAAAGCCCGACCTCCCTCTATAGCAAGCAAGATCCCAACCCCAAGAGGAGGCCCAAATAAAAGCACTGGCAAAACATACTCAAAGCGATGACAGGACAAGTATTCTTTCCTTTGCCTTAATAACTGGGCGTAGAGTTGATAATAGCTACTTAAAAATCTTGGGCAACTCATATCATCTTTCTCGTTTGACTGCTTGGGGCTGTTTATCAGCCTCGAGCAGTACTCGCCTGGCCTGATAACTTGTGCTAGCTGTCTGTGCGGCGCTGTGGTTTTCTCCTAGAAATGTGCATGTTAGAGGTACGCGTGTGTTCTGGGGCCGATCCAGCCTGCTGTGTTCCCTGCGTGGCACCAGGACGGCCGGGCACTGGGCTTTGGCCGGTGCCTCATATTAAAAAAACTCCTCCATGAGTGTGGAGCTGACATGGCCACGTGGCGTAGCTGCTCTTGCTGTCGGTGCAAAGGCTCTGCCCTGTTAGGGGATTACTCCGGGGCTGTGGTTCCAACACTCTGGGTTTGAGATCCAGATCCAAAAGCCACGGTCGGTTGTGCTTTGCCTTTCTTTTTGGGAAGAGCAAGAAACGGGCCAAACAGAAGTTGTACTGCACTTTCCGGACGGACGCAGCAGACAGGCATTTGTTCTTGTGTGACGCTTGTTTGCAGTGAGATGTTCTGAAAGCTTGGGAAGTCATACCTGTGTTTGCTGATGTCATCACCTGACCAATGTAATAATCGCAGAATATATTGCTGATAGTTTTCTGCCAAAATTGACTTTAGAACATGCTGAAAGTAATAGTGGATGTACAATGAGCAAAAGAGGCATGTTGCAGTCGCGCAGGTTCCTGTGATGTGATGATGACATCGGTATGTTGGCAATATGTGCCTTTTCAGTCCACCTGACAGGAGGGTTAAGCAAAACTGCAAGCGTTTGGTACGTAATAAGAGTGTGTATTGATGGAGCTACTGTAAAAATTCAAGTTTTGCTTTAAAATCTCAGAGGAAATTCTGAAATACATCCCCAAGAAATGGCCCCTTAAAGAAAATGAGAAGAGCTTAGCGGGGCCCTGAAAAGCTTGAATTCATAAATTTAGACCTTTTTTTTCCTGCTTCAGCGTACTTTCAGCTCGCTTCTAAATCCAGCTCTGATACTGAGTTTCTCTAGTTAGATCTCGATTAAAATAAACATCCATAGATTACAGAATAGGAGCATTTCATAGCTTCAAAGAGAACAAATTCTGTGAGGACACAATGGATGAAGCTTTGTACCTAAAGCAACAATCTTGACACTTCCACTTATACGGTGGGGGCCGTTGCTTCCCAGGATAGAATTAACTGGTCCCTTGTTGACGTACCCACGGGTACAAGAACGTTTGTGGTAACAGAAGTTTTAGGGCTTGGGTTTTTTTGCTCCCACGGAGCCAATTTGCAGTCCTGTTTTGCATATACAGCACTGGTTTTCTCATAGGCGGGTTTTATAGTTTGCGTGCAGCCTGTCTACAAGCTCGTGAATTTTACAGATAGATCGGCATGCTTGTATTTTGAAAGTTTTTATATAAATGGTTTCTTTACCTCTTCCAAATATATATATCAATAAATATACATACATTAGGAATATATATATTAACAAATATATATATATTTATTTCTAGTTTAGCGACACGTGTTCCTATTTGAGAACAGGAACTGTGCAATAACCCTCTGCAGCTTTTTCACTGCAGAATCTCGGGCTGGAGATTCCTGCCTCTTCCCTGCCCTTCCCACCCACCGTCCCTACCCAAGGAGCAGGCGAAGCGCATCATGGAGCCTTTGTCCAGTGGCTTTTAGAAGACAAACACATAGGCAAGGGCACCCCACTTTGCATCTCAGGGCTTTGTAATTTTTGTTCAAATCCAGAACAGCTCTTTAGCGACATTTTAAAGAAATCATTTAAATATTGTAGAGTGTAAAATGTTCACTGAGATTGCTGGGTATCCTTAGACTTCTTGAGTGAGGTATAAAGGTAATATTAACTACTCGATGGTATGGATTGCAAATACCTTAGAAGTGAGAAAATGGGAATTTTTTTGAATGTGAAAGGACTGTCTTTGAGCATAGTAGTACCACCAATGTAATTTTTAAAGAGTGATTTCACCAGGCTGCTTCATTTCACTTAATAAACAACCTGTGTTTTCTGCAGTGGCAAAACAAACACTGGTGTGAAAAACAGCCAAGTTTGTTCCTGTGCAATGAAGTCTCGAGCGAAATGTTCCAGAGCAAAAATGTCGCGCCGGTGCAGTTCTGGCTAACGGAAAGGAGTTCTCCAAAGCGTTGGCCTGGAAAACCTCAATCAGCAACAGTGGTACACCGTTATTAAAGAAAGAGCAGACTGTGTGGTGCCCAGCTTGTGGGCTTTCATCCATCCCCTCTCTGTACCCGAATGTCAACCACGTTGTTTTCATCCATCCTAGCTGCAGAGACGACTTGAGCAGCTGGTGTCCCTGCAAGCAGGAGTTCACCGAACCTCCAGCGACTGCTTGGATCCCACTGCCCAGCGAGAGCTTTTATATAGATTTGGGAGAGGCAGATAAGGTATTTAAATCCTAGAGATTTTATCGCTGTCATTTAAACAGAAAAAGGCACTATGTTAAACACTTAAGTTACTTTTGTTGCACTTATTTAATAAATTTGTTTAGCGAGTGCGGACGGTAGCTCTG